CAATCGTAAGTAATGATTTTTTTATTTTATATTTTGTCATATTAATGTTTTTTTTATTTTATTTTAGATACGTCTGGAAAGTGTTTTAAACCCTTTACTAGAAAAGATAATTTAAAACATCACCGCAGGATTTGTAAAGGAAGCCTTAATGGTAAGGTTTTATTTTATTTTATATTGTGTAATATTAAATATTTTTTTATTTTATTTTAGCCAATCAACCTAAACCCCAAAATGGATACAACACCCCTAAAAAGGATGAGCTCCGACACTAACAGTAAGTAGCTTTTTTATTTTATATTGTGTAATTATAAATATTTTTTTTCTATTATTTTAGTCGATCAGTCCGAGTCCCAAAATTCAGAGACAGCGCCCCCAACAGCTAAGAGAACCAGACTTGGTTTCAATAACGGTAAGTTTTTTTATTATTTTTTTTATTGTTTAACACCTTTTAAATTAAAATATATTTTTAGAACGGTGTTTACTTAGTGAAAACCTCATACAAAAACCCAAAAACCGAATTGCTACATACCGGCTTTTATCGAAAAAGACCCTACAAGTGACCCTACTATTATTTCGATGCTCTTAAAGATACTATTGTACGTTTACTTCAGGAAAATATATCGATTCATACCTGTATCAAAATCAATACGGAATTATTTTGTTCGTATATATTAGAATCTGAAATAAGAGAAGATATTAAACCGTTTAATTCCCAATATGATGTTTACGAAAATAAAAATCTGGATGAAGTATTCGACGAGTTTAAACAAGTGATGAAATCTGGTGCTTTTCAAGAAAGAGAAAGCGGTTGATCGTTCGTAAGATTCTGTTTTTAGAATTGAACATAAACAAGTTTAAACAAATAAAATAGTTTGGTGGTGGTGGTGGGAGTAATGATAAAGGAAATAAACGTATACAATTATTAATCGTCAAGAGAGTTGCTTGTGTGTATGTCAACATGGTAGCGTTAGACATAACCTCAAATTCATCATGTTCATCACCAGATGATTTCGAGTATCTAAACAGTATGGCTTTACGAAGTAATATGGAAATCAAGAAAACACATAAAAGACATCACCAACATCCCTATAATGCCAGTGAGATGAAGCGATCGAGTTGAGCCAGATGTCAACAAAGCTAAAATCACTAAGATGGGAAGTGTGATAATCACTGGTCGGTGACCGGTGAGGACTTTTTGGGATCAATTAAAACATTTCTTAAGCCCGTTCTAGTTTCAATTAATGTATTTATTAATCCTCATTGTTACAGTTTGACAAACATTGCTTAATTGCTTATAACATCAATAATGCAGTTAATGGATCGTGTAAAAAAGCAACCGACCCTGGAGCTTAAACGCCTAAACGTCAAGCATATAATGCACACATAGCAAATACTCAACATAATAATAATTGTATACATCATGTAAGATCACAATTCCCAACAACCAGTCATGAGAGAACATTCAGCATAGGAATAATGCAGCAATTCTATTATCAGAATATGCACAAATTATTCAAACTGCATTTAAATGTAGGATTGTTAGTTATCGAGTATGTGCCATTAATGTCTACATAGGTTACCAAATGTTCTTGTATAATGTGAATTCTTGTATATTGAATGTTCGTGTATAAAAAGTAGCTCAACAACATAAGTTTCATTAGTTTTCCTAGCGAGAAATGCCTGAACATAACATATTTAATACGCAAACTATAATGGCAAATATAACTATAATGGCAATGTAATGATACGTATAAGTTCAGTTGACAATTTACAAATTGAGAGTTCGCAAACGTTGTGGACCAGGAGAAGAAAAAATCAAAAGTGAATATTGTCTCAAATATTCAGGTGGTTCAGTCTAAATCACCTACTCTAATAGTGGGTAAAAACAAGCCATCCGGATCAAAGTTGAAGAACATGCTTGAGGGGGAGACGCCTTCTTAGAGAAAAAGTGATAAAAAACGTAACCCTAAGTGTAATAAGGAAAAACAAGAACAGTTGACTCAGCAAGAGCTACTCCAACAATTGCAGCAAGAGCCGCAACCAGTTCAACAACCGCAGCAACAACAGCCGCCTCAACAAGAACAGCGGAGTTTCGACGATGTGAGGAGAAGCGTAACCAGCTCGCTCAAGTATTTCGAGTAAAAAACTATTTCTTGAACCAGATTGAATTGAGTGTAGTGGAGGCCCGAGAGACACTACTATAAGTAGTACGATGCACAGCGAAGAGTAGACGTGTATGGCGGAACTCCACAAAAATTGTTGTTATTTACGTAGCTTTTTCATTTTATTTAAAGTTATTACTTTGTTTGTACCAGTTTGTTGACAGTTACCAGCTTACAGTATGGCAAATCGTGGAAAAAGTAGTCGTACTTTGCGTAATCGCCTAAGTAATGTAATGAGTACAGTAGATGCAGAGTTGAACGTAATCAGAAGTGAACTGGCCAAAGCTAGCACTTCCAGTGGCAAGAAGAACGAGGTCCATGACAGTAATGCTCTTCAGGATATACAGAAGAAATTTGAAAAATTTGAAAGTGATATAAGTAACTCTGTAAGTACTAATAAGAAGGAAACCAATATTTTGTTGTCGGCATACGAGTAGCTATCTGAAACGATAGAAAATGAAAAACAAAATTCCTACAAAAACAATTTACTTCTGAAAGGTGTACCTGAATCGCAGAAGGGTGATATTTATCAAGTTGTTTTAAATATTTTAAACAACAATTTGGAATGCAACGTACAAAAAAAACGAAATAAACGTCTGCTACCGCTATGGAAGAAAAAAAGAAGATTTAAGCCGAGATTTATTGTTGTTGAATTTATTAACCAGTGGTGGCGTGATCAGATTTTAAAATTAAAATCGAAATTTAAAGGAAATAATTATTTCATGGCTGAAATGCTTACAAAATCTAAATTGGAACTCTTTGCCGAATGTAGAAAATCGTTTGGGAGGAACTGTTGGACAAATGGTGGTAACATTTTTGTGACTGAATAATCAGAAGCGGCTCGTAAAATCTATTAATGATATACAAAATAATTATCTTTACCTAAACTTATAATTACTATATTTTTGTATTTTTCTTTGTATTTTCAACTTTTTACTCTTGGAGTTCCGGTTACTTGTTCTCTCATTATATACAGTGTGTCCACAGATTGTCTTAACTATACTAGTAAACTTGTTTATTTTCGATTTTTCGAAAAAAAGTAATTCTTCGTATACCATAAATAATAATTTATTATTGTCTATCCTTAAGTATATTGGTTTCTCAGATAAAGCTAATGATCTCATTGAAAACTTTTTCAAAAATCGTACTCAGCAAGATGTGCTAGATAACAATCTTAAGTCAAACGTCTTAAGTCTAAAATTCGGTGTTCCTCAGGGTTCGATATTGGGCCCACTTCTTTTTAATATACAGGGAGTCTCAAATTTTAATCGGGAGAATTTAATAGACGATAGAACTTAACATAAAACAAAAAGTTCATATCAACTTGTAAGATTTAAAGCTTCCTTTTCGAGATATAGGGTTAGGTGTTAAAACTTAAAAAAGAAAAAAAGTTAAGATATTTGAAAAAATATTTAATCGATTTTGATATAATTTGACCCGTTTATAATACTTACTATGGGACTTAATTCTGAAGTAATTAGATTTAAGTTTAATGGGCAGTGGTGGCGCGGCGGTGGGGCATCACTGTTAAATTATTTTAAAGGAAAAAATAGGCACGCCACTGCTTTTTTAGAAGTTTAATATTATTTTTGGATTTAGTAATTAAAAATATTATTTTTTTGTCTCCTGACTTTTTTGTCTATCTTGCTTACTTCTTGCGCAAAAAATTAAATTCATTTATTCACTCCACCCTGGACAATAACTTAAATAATAATGGTTAGGTACAACATTTACAATAATTGTTCAAATTGATAACCACTAACATCAACGCATTGGTTTCTGGTATTGTTGCCGTCAACGATATTTCATATTGTTTACATTATAAAAGAATCGATAAATACACGGGAAAGATACTCTGCCCGTCGCGTCGTAGTCGATTTTGTTCATAATTTCCTTTGTGTTAAATGTAAACAGTATGAAATATCTTTGGAGGCAAGTATACCAATTTGTTTTTAAGGACGCAAGCGAAGCGAGATTCCCCGTTCCGTTGCAACAAAGCATAATTCTGTAGTTGCCAAAACAAAAGTCCATTAGATGGCCGTGCCGCATTCGCCATGCCTACCGGTGACATTTATCTGCGTCTTCTGCTTATTTTTATTGTTGTTTTGTATATTTGTGTCAAAAGTGCCAAATAATTTAAGGTAATTTATCATTCCGAGAACGTTTAGCTCGGAAGAATACGCAGACATTCATTTTGTCTATGGATATGCTGCAAAATAAAAACACTAAATCACCACAATACACCAAAACACTTTTACTTTCACACTGGACGCGCGTTTCGCTAACCATATCAGCAGATGATTATAAACTAAAGTACAATCTACAAGTTGAGCGTTTATATACTCGCCCAGTAGGCACTGAGTGGGCGTGGCAAAATCTAGCCAACCGAGTCAGAGCCCACTGAGCGTAACAGTTATTTCCACCACTAGAGTAGTAGGAACAAAGAACTTGAAGGAATTGGAATTGGACCGTTGTCTCTGTTCATACTATCTTTACATTTATTAATTCTGATGCTGTCATATGCATCTAATTAATGCAGTAATGAGAGTAATCCTGTAATTTGAGACTTGTTTAATTAATTTTAAATTATTAAGATCTATACAATGTTCTTTATCAACAATATGTTCGGCAACGCAAGATTTATCCGGTCTACCATATCTTATCTGAGCTAAATGTTCTTTAAATCTAGTTAATATTGATCTTCTAGTTTGCCCAATATATTTCTGATTACAATCTTTACAAGAAATTTCATAAATACCCGACCTTTCCAGTGGAGGTGTTTTATCCTTTGGATTACCTAATAATTGTTGTAATTTATTATTAGCACTATACACAAGTTTATAATTGACATTCTTAAAAATTCCTTTTAGACCACGGGATAACTCTCTATCAAACGGTATTGAAAAATATTTAGACGTTTCTCTGTTTAAAAAAATAATCAGTTTCAGTTTCCTAATATCGGATATCCGATATTAGGAACCAATTGTCCAGTGATGCATTTGTCGGACGTCATTCGGAAAATATCTGCGCCACTTTCTTTATTCTGTTATTAGGCAAAGATAAACTGTTTCTCGGTGATGTCCGAACTTTTATTTTTACGCAAGCAGGAGTTAAGACCTCATACTGAGGATTTTGTTTTTTTCTAGATGAACGGACAACAAAACCAAATAAAACTTAAAAAGCGTAAAAGCTGGAATGCAAAAGCTATGGAGCTGGCTGTAAATGCAGTAAAAAGTAAGGAAATGGGGTATTTAAAAGCGTCAAAAGCCTACTTGTTGATTACGTTAAATCGGACAAAGCAGAAGACATATTAACGTCGCCTGCGTTATCTGATGAATTGGAAAATCTATTAGTTACGTATTGTTTGGATATGGAGAAACGGTTTTATGGTCTAACAGCATCGGACATTAGAAGATGAAAAAGATAGAGATATCATCAGTGGACAACGAGGTTGTAGTGTCAGAATACACTTACACAGACGATGAACAACAGGATCTAAATCAAAACTACAAAAAATGTTTGGCACTTAAATAGTCTAGAGAATCTAAAGGTATTACAAATAATAATTTATTATTATCTGTGTACAATATTTTAATTTTTAGAAAACATTGCAAATATCGAGAACGTAGAGCCAGAATCGTCAAATAGTTCCCGAGAAGAAGCGCCATATTCGTTAGATGATTCAATTCGAGATCCTAATTATTCTGATGATTCATCTTCAAATTCTTCCAGAGGCTGAGTCACTTATGGCACATGTAACAATACTAAATAGAAAAAGAAAAGCGGAGCCATCAACGTGGAAAAAAAATTGTGCAAATCGGTTAAGAAATAGCGGAAAATCTTATAAAACTTTGGCAAAAGAAAAAGAAATACCGGAAAGGAAAATACAACCCGCCTGCAATGAGAAGTGTAAACAAAACTGCAGTAGTAAGTTTACTGAAGAAGAAAGGCTAAAGATATTTAAAAATTATTGGGACATCAGATATCGTAAAGCAACGCACGTACCTATTGACTCTCATGCAAGAGTTTAATCCTAAATATAGGTATCAGTTATCGACCTACAATTTTACTGTGTGCGATATAACACCGAAGGGGCAGGGTGCTGTCTACTGCTACCTGTGGCATGAGGCTGAGGGAAAAAGAGGCGCAGTTGAGATTGGTACGCGTGTATTAAACTATTTGAAAGAAAAATCGGAAACTTCGGACAGTGATGACCTAGAAATAAGGTTTTATTCCGATAACTGCGCTGGCCAGCAGAAGAATAAATTTATTAATGCTGTCGCCAATTACAAAATAAAGTCTATAACTCACAAATATCTAGTCACGGGGCATACTCAAAATAAGGGTGACAATTTTCACTCTTTAATAGAGAAGAACATTAAACAAGCTTTAAAGTCTGGACCTATTAGTACACCGTCACAATACGTTCAATAATATGGTCAATATTTATAATCTGAGTTTGCTCATAAATTGTTACTTTTGAGGTGTACCATTGTTGTCGACGGTGAGCGAATATGTATTATATGTATTATTATGTATTATTATGTATTATATGTATTTTTTAGTATTGAAAATACTTCTGGCCGTGTTTATATGGGACCCATCTTTGAAAAAACGACATGCTCGATGCCACACGAGTTCAATAACCTGCCTAGTCAACTTGTCAACACGTAAGTCGATAGTTTAGCCGGCGTTGATCATCGAAGGACGTTTGAAGGCCGAAATGAGGTCTTATTAATTTATCAGTGTGGGTGTGTGTGTGGGCCAACTATTTTATGGATATGGATGTTTGTCTGGGCCGACGGATAAAGAAAGCCCATATTATTATAAAAAAGAATATGCGTCAAGGCATATGGGTTGTTAAGTACAGTTTGGCTATTTTAATCTAACTCTTTCCGTATGAGAAGCAAGGGGCAAATTATACGTGAAAGAATGGAATCACATAAATAATAAATTTAGACTAATGCAATCTTTTTTCTTGGCGCGTAGGATAGGTAAATGCATTAAAGGGAATAATTAATTAAATCATTAAGTTCTAAAACATAATAACTCGGATCTCATCGGATCTGCTGATGCATTTTGCTAAAATTTAGGCTATTAGGCCCTATATTTTTTATGATTATTATTTTTTTAATTAACAACTTAGGCCAAAGAAAAAGCTTGCATGGTTTCCACTACCAATAGGCGTAAAAACACAATAATTAGTGCTAACTTATCAAAGTTAGCACTAATTATCTAGATTATTACTAATAGCTAAATTATCTATCAAATCAAAACCAGTCAACACATAAACGAAAGTAATTATTTGATAACTTCCATGTTTTGGGAAAACAGCACAATTCACGAATTTTCGAACGATCAACAATAAACGGACACTTCTGTTCTACGCCTATAAAGATTTCTAACATCACAGTTATACCGCAATGGACAAAATTTATATTGTATTGTGAACGTCAAACGCTATTACATTTTATATTAATGATCTGATGAATTATACGAAAAAACAATGTTCATAGGTAAATGAACTGAAAATCTATCAAAATAATAATTAACAATGAGGACCTCTATGTCAACAAATAATAATTAAAAACTGAGATGGATCATTTAAAAAAATAAACACAATCTCACAATCAATTTATGTGGTTTTGCAATGAAAAATATTGCATTTTATGATAACAAATATACTACTAGTATTCATAGTAAGAGATACTTGTGCCTACATATATATATATATATATATATAGTATATATATATATATATATATATATTATATATATATATATATATATATATATATATATATATATATATATATATATATATATATATATATATATATACTTTATATATATATATATATATATATATATATATATATATATATATATATATATATATATATATATATATATATATATATATATATATATATATATATATATATATATATATATAACATACATAACATACATTTTTATAGTGCAGGAGCGAAGTTCGCAACCACACCACCCCCCACCCATCATTTTTAAAATGAACCCAGACGCAAACCAACGTCAACCACCCCCCGCCCGCGTATACCGTGGACGCCCCGAGAATCAGCGTGACCCTAACGCTGTTAGGATCAACCCCCGCGAATCTCAGGAAACCAACCCACCCCCCCCCCCCCGTGGCAACCCCCAACGCCGCGGCCCACCTGCTGGAGGTTTGAACAAACCAACCCTAGCAGCCAGAAACGATGCAGCAAAACCCCAGGCTACTTCTGCAAATCCTGCTGAAGGGTCTGTGTTTGCATCTCAGATCAGTGTGCGCGAAACTGTCCAACGACAGACGTTCACACCATCTGCCCCTGCTCTCATTGAAATCAGCCGACAAACATACGCTGAACTCCTCACAGACGATGCTCAACTAGCTAAAGTGTTGCTACCTGAGTACTTTGATTACTACTCTACCGCAATGCTATGGCTTAGAATTGTCCATCTAAAACAGAGGAACTCCCAGCCGCTGACACAGAAGGAACAAGACCTTCTCAACCTGACGCAAGTCACAAGCTTTTGCGTGCCAGAACCACTGGTATTGCAATTGAAACAAATCGGCAACATCACAACAATGACGAAGCAGCACCTCTACCCGGAATTCCCACCATTTCCGACCGCCCAAGTAGCAAACCATGGAGGGTACTACGGTACTCTACAGCTACCCGCCCCTGGTGTAAACAACGACTTACACAACCTTTACGAAGAGATACCATGTCTCGGAGTAATGGCAGAAGCCGTCCGCCAGGCCATCTCAGACGCACCAGCAGGCCCATACCAGTCGGCACTGAACATCAATGCTGATAACCCAGTCAATGGTAACTTGCTCGGATACAAGCCTCTGACCAACAGAAAACCAGAAGCAAAGAATCTGGCTCTGTCCCAATCCATCACCCCCAACGCCTTCCCTGACCACCCAGAAGATACAGGTTTTAACCTGGCTCTTCTTCAGGGCATTTCAAGTAGTTTAGCAGCTACTTCCACCTTCAAGAACACTGATTTAGTGTTCTCGACCCTGAGCGAGGTAGGTGCTCAGTCACAAACTGTCATCCCCCGACCAATCGTTCAGGAAAACAGGCCCAACATACAAGGCGAGACCCGCCCCACCAGCCTGTCCCAAGAGCAGCCCTCACACTACGGCTCAGCCGTCTTCTTCGACTCCCAACTCATGAAGGAAGCCGGAGCTGGAGGTAATAACCTTACCTGGTGTTGCGTCAACTTGTTCTAGTTTAATTCTTATTGTGCAAATATTATGTTTATAAAAATATATTCCATTTAATATATTAGGTGATTTATTTTAATGATAAATCTAAAATTCTTGCTCTTGACAATATATATATATATATATATATATATATATATATATATATATATATATATATATATATACATATATAAGAAGCTAAACAAGTGTGTTGTGAAGCATTTTACTTAAAATGGTATAACTATGTTAAAATAATAGTTACTAATACTCATGAAGAAGAGACTAGAATTATCACTGATGACTGGTTAAAACCACTATCAGTAAATAGTGATTATTATGTTAATGGTACTCTGTACTGTAGTTATAATATTTACTGCATTAACCCGATTGTAAAATTTTAAGTGATAGTATTGTTTATTTCTGTACCATTGTATTACTTATTATAGCAATCAAGGTATTTTCTTATGCTTATAAAATATTTAAAAATCCAGTTGAAACTATAACTGAAGAATATATACCTAAGAGAAGCATCATTAGAGAGATTGATGAGGGACCTTATTAAATGGTGTCTATGCTGAAACTACAAAAAAGTTTGGCAAACAAATGGAAAAAACTAAGATTACAATATCAAAACATAAATACTGTAGTATACTAAGGATTAGCTTTGTTTTACTATATATTAGCACTTTTACAACTGTTTATTTATGGATATCTACTATTATAACTAATATTCCAAGGAGCCAAGCAATTAAAATTACTAATAGTACTGAAATATATATTGGACAAAAACAAATTAGCCTTTTCGATTTTCATAATATGAATATTAGTTATGAAGATGATATTACCAATAATAATAATATAGTTATCAGAAATAAAAGAGATGTTTATGATTGTACAAACAGTCCAAGAGAGATACGGCTAGTTGGGGCACGGAAGTTTGAGCCTTCCTCCCAACGAGGTACCCAAGGGGCCAGTGCGACCCCGACCCTCAGGCCTAACTGAGGGCAGCTAGCACCCACACCTTAAATACAACTAATAGTTGTTTAGCTACCTCCAGTAACGCTCAATTAGCACGAGGAGGATAGTAGTTCCCAGTAACGCAAATTAGCACGAGGGGACAGAGCCAGTAACGCCCAAAGGCACGAGGCTCAGGCCAGTAACGCATAAAGCACGAGGCCTATGAACAATGACTTCGAATTCGACGACCTCGACGAGATCACTCTCTTCTACAGGAACGATTCCGGAGAGTGTGATCCCGGACAGAGTACCCCTAGACCTCGCAGCCGCATGGATATCGAAGCCGCTGAAACAGGTCGGTCCCACGACCGTGCCATTGCAACAGGCACCCAAAGGTCTAGACTTCGCCAGCCGAGCTGGCTCAAAATCGCAAACATATACGTCCTGGGATACCTATTCGCGCTCATATCTAGTATCTTACTATTACGATGGTTTTCCAGGAGGGCGGGGTCGCAGACACACCAGACAACGGTCCAACCCAGAAGACTTAATCCCGGACATCCCTACCGAAGCAGAGGAGATGAGGTTCACCCCGACAGACAAGAGTATGATCAGAGAGGGCAAGAAGGCCTTCTTCAGGGGGGTGGGCCTCCTGACCCCCAAACAGCTGCAGAGGGATATGTATATCCGCCTGATAGAACAGGCTCGTTCTGTCCATAGACAGAAACGAGTTATTGAAGATGCAGTACCTTCCCGATCAACAGGACCAACTCTCCGGTCACAAACTTCCAACAAAACAACGGACGCTACTTCAGAGACTGCATCCCAGGCCAACTCCACAACTCCCACCGACACTGACTCCCAAGCAACAACCAGTTCAGAGGATGTACCTACACCCACACAATCTGGTCCTCTTCAATTATCCAGTTGGTACAGTGATACCATACCTGTGAGACCTGTCTTAGTGACAACGTGGCGGAGTGAGGCGGAACAATCACTGTCAATTCCCTATAGTCCGATGTTCACATCTTTCGCCCAAAGATTAACTGACCCTGCAGCCACTGGAGCTCTAGGATCTGTTGTTAGGGGCCCGACCGTGAGAGACTCCGTTTCTATTCTGTCTCTGGTAAAATACCTACTTACATCGACCAAATCTTGTATGGAGGTTGCAGCATTGGTGCGAGTTTCAGCCATGGCATTATCTCTAATTCCGACTAATTATGAAACGGAAGTAATAAACAGTCGCATCATAAGAGGGTGGAGAACTACTGAATACATGGGGGCTGAGATCAGACAGCACGGAAGGTTTACCCCCAATTCCCAAATCATCGCAGTACCCCTCGACCTCTTTGTGAATTTCATGCTTGACAAGTCTCCCCAGCTCAACAACAACGGACGATTCCAGTACCAGTCTGCCGACATCACCTGGACTGCGATACCCTTTAGGTCCGAATTTATGAACCAGGGGGGAACCATTCCCTACACTGCATCCTTCCTCTCTTCGGAATTTTGGAATGGAACTGTAAATCATGCATTCAAGGGGACACTTACCAACGCCGGAGGAGACCAGACTCGGCGTGTTGCCACTCGCATTATGCCTGCCATCAACAGCATTTATATGGCGGGTCCAGTTGATATAATTATAGTACTCATGGATTACGCCGGCGGGCAGGCCCCTGGGACAGTATCATTTGCTGGCAACCAGATACCCGTATATCAAGGCCAGGCCATCCCCGATAACCGCATGGTACAATTCAACCCAATTTGGGATGCATGGTGGAATAACAACAATTTGAACAGGATTAGTAGGGATGTGGCTTTGGCACACAAACACATAACCCAACATTTGTGTGTTGAGAACACCTCGTTGCTGGCCTCCAGTATAACTGCGGAACTATACACCACCTTATATCACGGATTCGCAGTGACCACCAACCCCAACACAGGCGAATATGACTGGGATACTCCATGCTGGGCGGCGTGGTCTATTTACGAAAATGACCGCGTTGCAAAATCCAGCAGAGCGAAGACCCAGTACTGGAACACCGGCCATGATGTTGCAAATGAGACTGTGGCGCGCCGGCGGATTGTCGGTTACAACTTTAGCGCTTTGTCTGCCTGGTGCAGGCCGATCACTGCTGTAATCGGATCGGTAGACTCACACTCAAGGTTTGACAACCTGGGTGATATGAGAGTTTGGAATGAGGCACGGCCGACATATTCCGACCCTATATACACCGTCTCAACACATGAAAGCCTTATGAGAATCGCTGTGTACTCGAAACTAATTTTGACACATGAGCAGCACATCTTTTTCGACTCAGCACACGGGATGGGTACTTACCATCATATGTTGGCGGGAGCTCTCTCAGCTCAATTCTCCTGCCTTTTTACTTCCTCCAACCTGTCTCTAGCAGTATGGGCCGGATTTGACCTCCGAAAGGATGACGTGGTGGCTGCAAATACGATGGATCTAGCAGTATCTCATGCCACAAACGGGCTGTCCCGCTACATAGACGTAGCTGCCATGATTGAGGGTTGGGCAGCCTGGGACGAAGACGTTATCTATGAATATTTTGGCACAAACCCTTTTAACAACATAGAATGGCATATGACACACCCACTGCCCCATCATTTCGTCCAGCAGTGGTTGACAAAGATAGGTCTCACGTTAGGAATACGTCCCCCTGGCCCAACTTATTTCCGACATAACGATATTAACCATCTTGGGCTTAAGTTCGACAAGAGTACCTTGCAATTTAGAAGTCTAACTTATTGCACCACTGACGTTGATAGGTACTTTCCCAAGTTGGCCTATATTTAAGTCTTGACATAATATATATATATATATAGATATGTAAGTTAATATAAAGTTAATAATTATCTCCTTATTGTAGCCTTGAAGAAGAAAAAATAAAGATTTTTCGAAAGCTTGGCAGTAGTAATAAATGAGTTTTCATTAAATTTTGCCCTTACGACTAGGCCGTTACCCCAATTCAAAATTCTGGTTCTATATATATATATATATATATATATATATATATATATATATATATATATATATATATATATATATATATATATTATAAAATCGGCCAACGGATCTTTGGGATATTAATAAAAAAGGTCTATTAGAAAACACCTTGACACCCTTGTATCTTTAAAATTATACATTTCCGGACACATGTTTATATTATGAACTTTTTACCTTAAAACACTCAAAGAATCACCTCCTGAAGTTTGGCCAGATACTTAATTAACACCCTGTATTTAAAAATGGCTAGCTAGTGATCTAGTAAGCTATGTTTATTTTAATGGGAAAAATACATCTCATAAAAAATAAACAAACTCATAATACAAATACTATACACTAATTAATTCATTTTAAATGTATCTAAATAGGCACTTTAATAATTGAAAAATGGTCAGGAGCACTTAAAATCACTTCATAGAATATACCAAATATGCAAAAAAAAATCCAATAAAAAAACCACAAATGGTACATTAAAATCTGCATTATCTGAACTCAAACTATACCTAAACGGCTAATAAAATAATACTGACAAGACTAAATAAAAGTGAGAAGACGCCGACATCGATAACGCGATGAGCAGTTTTAAATAATTATTATATTATTCCGAGTTATTTTTACGTACGTGTTTTACAATTATTGTAATACAGTAGCATTCCTTTAAATAAATTTTAATTTAAGTATTGTTAATATAGTCATATTAATTATTATAGCCCGTATGATTTCTAAAATAAAAAAATCAAGCGTGTTTTTATCAGAATTATTAAATGATTAAAAATATGTAGAAATAGTTAATATTTATTAACTTCGTAAGTGCTATATTTTAATATAATTAGGGACTATATATCTTAAGTTTAAATTATGGTAAACTTGTATGAGTTTCAATCATTTATATTTAAAATGTTAGGAAAGACAATATAGATTTTAGGCAAGAGGGAAGCCAATATGGGGGAAAGGACTGCGTAACTAGTAATTAAAACTTAACAATTTTGTTTACTTGATATTTTTCTGGTCGTTCACGTTGAACTTTAACTCTTCGTTGTGTCACACACAATCTAAATGAAATTTCGGATATGA